AGAAGGAGAGGTGTGTGTCAGTGATGTCTGGCTCGCCCAATTCCTCCTGGAATAAGCACAGAGGGTAAAACTTTAACTTCAGAGTCTAAAAGTAGACATTTATATTTACTGCCAATAGAGTGGGGGAACTATAACGTCAGAACCCGGAAGAGTAATTCGCCGTGGGTTCCTTCTAGATTTTCCTATGAGGTTTTTCAATTCAAATAAAGCCTGTTGTAAACATAACTTGACGATACTTTTATGTTTTGTTGTACAATGTAAATTACACGCATCTGTAGGGTATCAGACCGAATCAGACAATGTAAGATTTGATAAAGAACAGTTGAAACACGAGGAGCCGAATTCTACAGAGGCCTTAGACAACTGGATGTTCATAAATCAGACCCTAGCACTAGCCAGTCTGAAGCAAGCCTAACCAACTCTTTCACAGAACAGCTTTCAACATTAACACAAAAGGAACACACTGATCATAACAACTCAGGAAGGAGATTGTCAATTTTAGGGCAAGTAATCAAGATTAAATGGTCAAAGAGATGACAGCATGACCCTCACGTGATAGTAAACACAATCACGAGCCCTGTAGATTGACTTCCCCCAACTCTAACAAAGAACAGACTTTCAGAGATTCCTTACAGACCTCTTAATCTCAGGTCCTCATACATTCACATACATTCACAGAATGGCACAGAAACTGCCTTTCCATGCACCAAAATGAACTAAAAGGACTTGTGAGCAACTAATCATTTCTATGCATAACTCCATATCATGTATGTAACCCACACATCAGACTATCAGGTCTTAATCATTTATTGTGAATGTATGTTGAATAACTATGGAATAGCTTAATAATTCCTATCCATGTTTAGTATGTGTGTGTTTGAATCTCCTTGCTTGAAACGTTTCTTCCAATCAATTCTTTGTCAAATGTATCATATTCTTGTTATAGAAATCATGTCCAAAATGATACTCTGCAAGAGCGGGAAAACGCGGACCATGTGACTGATAAGATAACATTT